TTATTATGATTCTCATTATGATAATTACTATTGATATTATTATTAGCACTCAAAATTATTCATATTGTAACTTGAATTTTATCTAAGAATGCTTATTTCAATATTTTCAATATTTTGCCTAATATTATTGAAATATTAAATATGTATTATATTGTAATTTTTTCGGAATGGAAAAAATGTTGCGTAATTCAGTGTCGACAGCTTATCAAATTTAATATTTTTAACAGCTAATCACGATGAATTGACTATAATTTTTTAACGCTGATGTAATGTCCGTGACTATATTATAATTGAATTTAAATAAATACAATATATTTTGTTGCCTTCACATATTGTAATTTGGACTTTAGCACTGGTTGCTATTTATGTGATAATTAATTTACTTAAAAGATCGGTATGAGATTTTATAAAAAGATACCATTGATCTTATAGTGTAAAAACTTGCTACGGAATGTTTGGTAATAGCCATCAAGGTAAGTCAAAAAGCATCATACAAATCGAGGGCCAAAGTGGTCGTTGATGAAATGAAACGCTTTGCGCTATGCAATCTGATTTAATCAAAATATATTAGCTGAGTATTACGTCAGAGTAATGCAATTGAAGTAAATTCATCATCATGACGCAACACGCTACTTACGCCGTCGCAACTATGTAAGATTTAATAATGTCGATAAGCATGGAAAATTCCGTGAGATTCATGAATTATCCGACACAATAGAATGAGGAACTGTACAGGATCTATGGCTATTAACTGCAATGTAATCGTTCAAGTAACACATTATTGTGCGAAATTTCAGGAACGTATAACTCTTAAGGTCGGTTTATCTTTATCTGGAAATGTTCAACTGAAATTATTATGAAATTATTACGATACGTTTTCTAATTTTTCAAACTAAGTCAAATAAATGGATCAGGAACCCTTTCTTTGCATAAATTCATCGATTCTTGTGTCACGAAATATTAAAAAACTAAATCATTATATTTATAAAAACGTTCCCATTGAAAATAAAAATTGGATTAATTTTCTCAATTTGCCAGATGCTTGCCAAAGCACGAGTTTCAAAGAGAATTTTCCAATTGTTTTATGCAACATAACGAGTTATAAAAAATTATAGTAGCTTTCAAAATTTTCTCTGAGCAGAAAATAGTGTAGAGTTAAAATCGACGGTTTTGACATATTCTCGACATTCATATTAATTTGTTGATATCTAAGACGCAAAATCTAGAACCTTAAAACTCTGATTCAAATGATCTTTAGCGATATCCCTGGGCCCAAGTCGAACGGTTACATATATGCGCTTATCGTGGCGATCGGCCTCGTCGCCGATGTCTTCGTCGTCGCGATTAATTGGCCCAATGGTTAGCTTAGGTCTGGGGGGCACGTCCAGTACGCTTGGCCCGATCCCCCGGAGGGGGTCAACGAGAAGTGGCACCCGTCGTTCTTCTCTCTAGCACCCCTCCGGAACGACTGTCGGGAATTAATCGACGAAGCGCCGGCAGACGGCAAGATAACGACGGAAATTTCTTCCTCGTCAATCGAGGCCTTGATTGAGTCGTATCGTTGTAGTAAGTGTGCTGCCGACTTGGCGAATGCACTTATACGCGAATCCGAGAAGATGAGCCTATGCCAAAGTAACAACAGATCGTGTTTCTGTTTTCTAAATTTATTTATTGGACTCTTATTGCTATCTTTGTGTGCATTTTTTATGATGACAACAATTGTGCAGAAATGTTTAATCAAGAGAAAAGATGCTATTTTTATGATTGATTATTTCACAAATAAAAGAAAGAAAAAAACGGTAATTTTAGAACACGATAAATAGTAGAATACTAAACAGTAGCAATATCAGAGTTTTATCAGTAAATCAGAAGATATTGATAAATCTGTGTGCAAAGATGATAAAGATAAAAATATCAAGCATTATGAAGCTGCGTACACATATGCAGCATATGTCAAGGATATCTTGTGATAACTGGACCGCGAATGTCCAAAAGCACGATATCTGGAAGAGAAGGCTACTTCAAGAGCATCCGCACCAGCATCCGCAGCGCGCACATATACATATTACGTATGCCATGTTTCGATTGCCTACTATCAACGAGTCTGCGAACTTTATCTACGCCAATGGGCGTTCCTCTATACGCTGGACATATGCGACATATCGGATCGTTAATAATCATGTATGATAATTACGCAGTTAGATGCGTTGGATAAGCTCATGGAATTCTACTGGACACTTTATACAGTCACGCTAGCATAAACGTTACTTGATGTCGCTTCGATACGGCAGGTATGACAAGATTCATTGGTCAGACCGACTTTTTCCGCGCGATTAGGATAATAGGGGAAAAGTACTGGATTAACATTTGCAGTTTATAAATAATTATTAAGTCCGCATTTCCATTCGGGTCTGCTTAACTCACTTTTATGTTTGCGATAACTCTGCAGCTGTTAACTGTAATGTTTTCGAGTTTCGTTATTTCTTTAATTTTTTATTTTTCAATATTTGAATAATATTTAAAAATAACACGAGAATATGTTTGATTAAAGCTATTCCTAACGTAAGATAATTATTATGTTAAATAGTCATTAAACTAGAACACATTGACTACATGCAACACGGAATCATTCTTGCGATTTTATAAATATACTGCAGTACAAAAAAGTTGTTATAGAATAAAAAGTTCAGCATCTTAGCATTCTACATTTATGAGATTTCATTGAATTGAATTGCACAACTGCTAGCAACAGTCGCTAAACTCAATCATTCCGTCAAGACAAAGTAATACTTCGCGTCCCCGACGATTTGCCGAATCGTCAAGATTCGTCTATTTTGGACCCGTCATAAACTTAATTTTCGAAATTAATTTTTGGTGTATGAATAAAATACTCATCTTAAAATTTCACGTCGAGAAACTATCGACGCAATGTATTCTGTGCTATTTGTGCAACGTATATTATCGATCTTTTGCGCTTCATCACGACTCAATTCTCATATTCATACTCATTTACTTATCATTGAATATTTAGCATAGATAAGAAATAAATTCTTTGTAATTTACTTCTCTGACGCAAACATTAATGTCCAGATGCGTTTTTTTATCACGATGCCAGCGGTAACAATCTGCCTTTAAGCAACTTTTTATATGGCATTGCAAATCATCTTGCATATTTATCTTTCCAACGCCATCGTGATATACGTTCCTTTCTAAAGATTTTGATGGGGAGTTTCTCTCCCTTGTTCTTCAGTATTCTTCCGTTCATTATGGAATGTCTGGCTCATGTATGATTAAGTTGCGTTTTTGCTGAGCGAGCACGTTTACATCTCACGGAAGCGATTTTGATAAGGGATGAACGTGACACCACGACACGAAAACCGCACGTAGACGTAATAGCACCAAATCACAAAGATCAGCACGTATTTATCCGACGAGTGCAAATCAGTACTCTTCAGAGCAACGCGTCTTACGTTATTTCTTTGTGCATATTTGTTCTTTGACGCAGTCTCAACTTTTAAGTGAAAAGAAAGAAGTCTTAAAAGGAATGCAGAGAATTACAGGATGTAGTGACATAGTTTCTTCCCGATATTTTAAACATCTCTCTACTGATTTACAAAATTCTTTTATGCAAGGCAAGCAATGTTTCAAGGAATAAAAGACATATTTTGAAAGTTACAAGTATATCGAATTGTATATTGAGCCGTGATGAGTGCAAAAATGTTTATGACATACTCTACTTTATATTTTTATCTTCTATCTATTTTTACAGAGACAAATAAATTTCCAGAAAAAGGAAAACAAAGTGGTCTTATTAGGAAAATTTTATGATAAATATAATATTTATAATTTTTTTAGAATAATTAATAATATAATCTATAGAAACTTATATATATACATATATATTTAAAATATTATATACTTTTTATGTTTCTATATCAAAGGAATAAAAAATTTATTTTTCCATTATTAATTTAACGATTATATGCTATTTGCTAATTTACTCTTTTTTAAACAAATGCCAATCTAGTTTTAAAAATATAAAGTAAAAATTCTTCTACAGTTATAGCATACATGATGATACAGTCAATTTGTACATGACGTAGGTGATAACACAGTTAAATAGACTTAACATAACGTTATCTCGACAATTTTAGCGCGCAAAATGCGTTTATCGCGTTTGGCAACCGTGAACTATTAATCGCATCAATCCAGAGACTGCCCTTTTGGAGCTGCACGCATCTTGTATTTATGTGACATAAAGAATCCACTGATTTCTTCAGCTAATTTTTCGCTGACCATCTTTCCATCTTACTTATTATTGTTTACAAATTTCATTCCTCAAGTATTGTTTCGATTGCAGCGTATCATTTCACACGTGCGAGCTGATTTTAGCAGACACATTTTGTTGCCTTTTATGCTAAAAAAAAACTACTTTATCTCTGGTAATTCTTAATCACGTTCAGTCGTCGGCCCGTGTATTATTAATTATCGTTTTCATAATATTTTGCAACGCGTCATTCTTAAAAATATCAAGAGAAGTTCAAGGATTAATTTAGAGAATTATTCGCTATAATTCATTGCTAACATTGTGTTCTCACGATTATGTTATTATTTTCTAATGAAGTAATTGCAGCACTTTGTGCTCTTCCTGCTGTTTCCTGTGCACATTTTGTAAAAAGGTTTAACATATAGTTTTAGTTCATATTTATGTTTCGAGTAATCTGAAAATACAACTGTCTGTATATTAATTTTTTAGCATTACTTTTACGGAGCTGATTTTTTTATAACTAAAGTGCCGAAGCCTTTTAGAGTTTCAACATTTTTGAAAATATCAAAAGAACATGAACACTTAAAAAGTTGTAAAAAATGATATCTGCCCTGATACTTTTTATAAAAAAATTTTTACATTTTCCTAGAAATCGCGCTATATGCGAACTTTCCGCTCATCTTGGGACGCTCCATCTATGGATACTCATCACCGCCTATTCTTCGATTTTCAGACGCCTGCCTCCGTTGCCAGGCGGAAAGCAAAAAGGAGGTCTACGGCCGACAGGACTGCGTGGTTGTCTGGGGCGAATGCAATCACTCATTCCACTATTGCTGCATGTCACTTTGGGTCAAACAGAACAATCGTTGTCCGCTGTGTCAACAGGAGTGGTCCATACAGCGGATGGGGAAGTAATCCTTGCGTGCGTCTGTCGCGCACGCAGGATCGCGGTTTCTCATTTTTGATCCGCGATTGTTCCATTGCAACGAGAATTGCCGAGAGTGTTGCGTGTTTGATTGAAGTATTGCATTCAGTTTAGTTTTATAGAACAGTTTGCAGTGAAGTCTTAGACGAGGCTTATCTTATACTAACATATAATGGTTAATAAATAATTGTATACATAGTATGCAAAGATTTTTTTAAAACTTGTGAAATGTTAAGGCGCTTATAAAGAAATTGTTTGTTTGTTTTTTTTTGCTATAATTTATATGATTGATTTATGCTACTATATTAAATTTTAAATAATTACTTTTTATTATAGAATTTAAATTTGCATATGAATAGGTGGATCAACGCATTATTGATTAATGCACCTTAAATCTAATTGATTGATGAAATATTAAATTGTGTATTTGGTAATTGTTTAGCATAGCTTAAAATTTTCAACATTTATCTTATGTAAGTTTAATAAACATAATATTGAGATCATTCTTGTTGCTCTTAAAAAGATCTTTTATCAGATTTTTATCCCGAATACCATGAAGCCTATCTGTTTTCTCCTTTCTCCGTCATTAATGATATAGGAAGCAATCACAAATAAGAAATATGCAAAGAAATAATTTTTATGAATTGTTTTATGTATTGTGTTTAAAAATAAGAAAATTGCATCGATTTTTATCGATAAACTTATTGTGGCAGAACAAATAATTTGAATATTTTGTAGTTATTAGAATTGCACACTCAAAAAAAATAATCTTGCAATAATAGCTAAAATTTTCTAGGTGTAAAAATTAACTATAAAACAGATAAATGATTAGCAACTGTTGTGATATTGCATATGTAATTACTTAATCAGTTTAGATGACAGAAACAGAATATATATCTGTATTGTTTGTAGTAAACTTTTAAAAAGTAAAGTTTCTCTAAAGCGTCCTATCTATATAAGATCAATCACGTGTTAGATCATGCAATGAATAACATTTTAGCAATGGTACCTAAATTTTTTCAGAAGCTATTGCTAGAACATTACTGCTATAAATTCTATATGTGACAAACAATGTTTTCACAGATCGAAAAATAGCGATACATTCTTGTTGCGATATCTAGAAATCTAACTACATCAGCGAAATATTTTTTTGAGTGACGAGGATAAGTGAAGGATGCTATTCTTTAAGTAAATTTACGTGGATTAAATAATCGTTTGCTTAAACTTTTAAAAGATTCCCGGATAACGAGACATTTAATATTAAAAATTGAAAAGTTACTGAAAAGTTAACAAGTAGCGATACAGTATTACATAAAAAAAAATGGTCCAAATTTTTTGAAAAATCTGCAGAATTGCGGCAGCAGATCCGCG